TCTCTCTCTCTCTCTCTCTCTCTCTCTCTCTCTCTCTCTCTCTCTTGCTCTTGTGTGTGTGTGTGTGTGTGTTTGTGGCGCACATGCACGTGTGTGTTTGTGGCGCTCATGCAAGCTTTTTGCTTGTGTTGTCCTACTCGCATGCATCTGTGTGAGAGTGGGTGATCATATTTACTGTAATGTGTTTTGCGTGCTCATGGTAGGGTTGAGGGCAGGGGGGGTGTGCATGGTTGGTGGGTTCAATTGTGCAAGGTCCAAAACAAAGAAACGGCGCAAGCCCAAACGAAGGTCTGAACTACCTGGGGTGGGAAAGTTGGATGATGGCACTGTAAGGCCGTCACCTGTTTCAAAAATGAGAGCACCAACGGAAAAAAAAAGAAAAAAAAGTGCCCTACAAAACCAAGAAAACATGGAACGGATGGTCAAAATAAACCGCAGCCGTCGTGTCCTTTGGGACATTTGGCCAGGAGGAGAGGGATCTGAAGCCTCCTTCAAGAGAGATTATCATATTACCTTGCAAGACTGGTTCAGCATCCAGCCAGGAGCTTCATTGAGATCTCCATGTTTTTTTCCGATCCCTTCTCCGGGTTCTCCCCCATCTGCGCTTGCTCTGGTAGATTTACAATGGTATGGTATCTCCTAACTCTGTGTAGCAGTCAGCAATGGACCCGTAGGCTTCAGTATATCCGGCATGTTCTTTTGTTTTCGCTGATATGGATAACACAGTGATGTGGGACCCCACCGCCTCCCTGTATTTGCCGAGCCGCTGCCAAGCAGCGCCGGGACCTCTTGCGGCTTTCTTCTCCTCCACACTGTCCTTGAGGTACCCCACCGCCTCCCTGTATTAGCCAAAGCCAACGCCTTTTCAAACTCATAGAACACATCCTGAGGGCGGTCCTCTCACAGACCTCTTTTACCAGCTCGAAAATAGCTCATAATTTCCTGCTTTCGCTTGTCCGCAGGGGCCTCAGCATCAAGCCTTCACCCAACAGGGGGCATACAATAGCCTCGGTGCATATGTTTCCACCTTTGCCTGTTTCGTAAGGTTCAGGTTGATCTGCGTTAATTGGGCATTGATTCTCTCTAGCTCTGCCTTCCTGTGTCTAGCCACCCAACCACCCACTGCAGCTCCAATCAAGGCAACTGCTTCTACAATGATCGCAAGAGCAGTCAAGACGTTCATCTGTTCCATCGCTTCGTCAGTCTCGGGTGGGCAATCTGTCACTGCCGCCGTTGCACCATCTGCGACAGCAGTGTTGATGTCGGTTTCTGCCATAGCCACCCCACTTCCTCTCCTTCCATCATGCTCCATCATCATTGCCCCCAAGACAGCGGCCATTGCTGCAAAGCCTCTCCTCGAGTAACTTCTACCATCGTCATCGCCCCTCCTGCTCCCCTGCTCCCTCTCTATTTTCCCTTCCAGATCTCCGAGGCTCTGAGCAGCCAGCTCCACCACAGTGTTCAAACCCATCATCTGAAGGATCTTCCCCACTACAGATCATCACCCCTCCATCGCAGCTCCCGGCAGTTGCCCTCCTGCGCATCTCTGTGTTGACAAGGCAAGTGCCCTGCCGCCAGGCAGAGAACCCCTTCCCACTTCACCCTAGCCCCAAATTGCCCTTCCTGTGCTGATGACATGAATGCCATGCGGCCAGTGCAGATATGCATCCCTCATTCCTGGATGCAACTCCCTCACACGGTGCTGTCAATGGTGTCCTGCAGACTCAGAACAACCTTGCCCTTACGACTAAGTCATCTGCCTCTCTCTGTATGTATGTGTGCCTTTCAATCACTCAACCTCCCAGGCCCCTCAGGGCCCCCTTCCCTCCACGACCCCCCTCGTCTCTCTCTCTCTCTCTCTCTCTCTCTCTCTCTCTCTCTCTCTCTCTCTCTCTCTCTCTCTCTCTCTCTC